CTTCTTAACCTCCCAACCCAAGGAAAACTGGCAAAAGGGTTGGACGAAAACTGGCCGGCCGTGACACATTGCTCGTGATCGAGGTATATTTCTTCTATTATCTATACAAGTTTTTTTTTTTTCTTTTTTTTTTTTTTTTTTTAACTTCAGTTTAGTAACCATTTCATTTTTTTAACAGGGTCATTATGGTGTCCCTAAAATCAAAGATCGATGCAATTTCGCAACATGGATGATGATGTCACTTCGTCTTCTTCAGACCGAAACTTGGCATCGACTTTTCGGAGATTTTTTACACGAATTCTGCTTTGCTAGTAAGTCCTATAGCCTCGACATCGTTTTTTCTTCACTGACATCAAATGCAAGCACCAACTGATTAATCAATAGTAACTTGGCATGTTTGGTCTAATGTTTCAGCTAGTTCTCATTTTTTTACGATTTGACCACTAATCAACATAAGCTATTTTTCTGCATATAAATGTAGTTTTGTTTCCAAGAGAGAAACATTCTCATTTCATGAAATACAAAAAGATGGTCCTCAGAAAAAACAATTCGTATTATCATGTTCGCGGAAAAAAAAAGGTGAATATCATCATGCATGGAAAATGGGAAGATTGACATAAATTTGGATCACAATTCACTTTGCAATCGTAGTTCTAATGCAGCTGCGACCATATTTCTGTTTACTTTTACTCGAGTCCGACTCTCACCATCGTAACTAAAATGCCAAATTTGAGATTACAGGATGGAGATCTCTATATTATCTTATCTGTCTACATTATTTGCTATGTGATACGCTTGATTGATATGCCTTATTGCATCTTTTCTTTTCGATTTCTATTTTGGGAAACAAGGCAAGAAAAAATGCCAAATTTGAGATTACAGGATGGAGAACTCTATATTATCTTATTTGTCTACATTATTTGCTATGTGATATGCTTGATTGATATGCCTTATTGCATCTTTTCTTTTCGATTTCTATTCTGGGAAACAAGGCAAGAAAAAATTCAAGTATGTTCTCTAGTTGTATGCATCATCATTTCCGACTTGTAACGTCTTTTTTAATTTGTTTGTAACAATCTGACATAAAATTGTTGCTTTCATCTTCGGGTTTGATAAACAAAATCAGCAGAGCTCCATATTCTTCTATGGGATTAATAATTTCTCATCGGTGTTGAAGTACGTCAAGAGAGAGAGAGAGAGAGAGAGAGAGAGAGAGAGAGAGAGAGAGAGAGAGAGAGAGAGAGAGAGAGAGAGGGGGGGGGGGGGGGGATAAATGTCGGCTGAGAGATGTGGGAGTGGGAGTTAGTGGGAGAAAAGGCTAAGGGGTTAGGATTTGAATTGAAATTAAAAGGGTAAAACAGGTATTTTAATTTGTCTAAGGGGGTATATCAAATTAATATTAGAATTTGGGTTTTTGACTAGGAAAGAAAAATCCATAGGACCTATCCATATATATTTTCAAAACTAGAGGGGTATCCCTCATTTCTCCTAAACAGTAATATAGTTAATATGAATGTCAACCACAACAATATTGACGTTTAAACGGGGCAAAAAGATGTTAAAGTAAAACCTAATTCAAAAATAAAAAAATAAAAAAGTCAAGACTGGCGTTGACCTGCGGTCAACGCCGGAAACCAGTGGAAAATTAGGAGAAAATAAAATAAAATAAAAGTCAACGCCGTTGGCCGGCGGTGACGGGCGAAATTGTACTCAAAATTGAGTTTTTGGTTAAAATTAATAATTTGTAAAATTTAGGGTCAAATTGGGTTAAATTAAATTAAAGAATGAAATTGGAGCATATTAAAATGTAAGAGGGTATTTGAGTCCTTTATACATCTATGGACAATGTGCGTTTTTTAAAACAAGAGTTTTTTTGTCTAGACTCCTTCCCTTTATAAATAAGATGGTATGATGGGATTATTTGTAATGGACCCTCTTAATAAATTAGATTAGGGGTGAGACTGGGTTGGGTCGATCGATTACCAGTCTAAAAACCAATTCATCCGACAAATCAATTTTGCTCAAATTAGAAAATCGTTGCCGACCCAAATTTTGTGGGTCCGTTGATGGTTGACAACCGAATATTTTGTTTCGGAATGGGTCGGATGATGGGTTATCCCGGCACCTAGTTCACTTAAACAAAATTAAATTAGGAGTAAAAATATCCACATTTTGCATAATGCCATTACGCGGTCATCATTATTTATCAGTCTAAAATAATTAATAGCAATTTGAAAAAAAGTATAATTAAGAAATTCAAAGTTGTTAAGAAAACACAACATTTATTTTATAGTTTTTAATAAAATTTTATTAATATAGTTGGTTGATTGATAATTATCGGTTAACTAATTTTTGATAATATTAGAAATTACCAACCGGCCCATTATAGATGGGTTGGTTGAAATTTTTGACCCAACCTAATGGGTCGAGTAAAAAATTATTATCAGCCTGAAAAATATGGTATGTGATGAATCGATTGATGGATAAAAACCATCACAATCCCAAATACATGTTCTTCACATTAGTGCAAGAATGGGCTTTATAAATTTGGAGATCACTTCTTCAATGTTGGCAAACTTAATTACTTTAAGCATTTACCAAATACATGTTCATCATCTTTGACAAGTATTTACCATGTTCTTCGTGAAGTCTTGAAGTGGGGACATCTGTTCATATTTACAAAATTGAGATCAAATTACAATTTTATATATTGACATATATATTGTGGGATGAAAAATATATGCTACCATAAAATAATGTAATAGTAATATAATTTTATATTCTTTGATAGATTTTTTTAGGGGTTATTTTACATATCCCTAGCCACCAAATAAGCTAGGGATAAACCCAAGCCCAAATCATCCTTTGACATACCTCCCTGGGGAAGCGAAAGTACTATACTATCCTTATATGCAATTTTCGGCCAGACTGCATTCAGCATTTATGGTCCTGCATTTATCATTTTCGCTGATTTATTTATTATTATTATTATTTTTTTTTTTTATAAATCTGTTTGTTAAATATATATATATATATATATATTTTTTTTTTTTTTTTTAATTTTTTAATTTTTTTTATAAATAAAAAAAAATTTTAATTTTTTTTTTAAATTTTCAAAACAATATGTTTACAGTACTGAAAATAACTACATGTAACTATAGTACCTATAGTAATTCATAGTTATGTTCGTTTTTTCCCCATATTTTTAGTCGATCAATTGTACGTATACACATACGAATACTGACTTATACAAAATAAATTCATAAAACCCCAACAAAAATTTACAAATTTAAATATTTTTATTATAAATCACATCAGAACCAATAAAATACAAATCGAAAATACATAAATATACGCATATGTAACTACATGTAACTACATGTAACTATAGTAATGTATAGTAATGTATACAGTCTGTTGAACAGATCTGATGTAACTTAAAAAAAAAAAAATTGACACCTTCAAGGAAAGGATCAATGGCCTTCATTAAGCTGCAATTGCAAAATCAAACAAAAAGAAATTACTTTAGTGCAAATCAACAAATTTGAATAAAAACATCAAAACACTCAAAAATCACCAAACATTAAGAGATCGAGAGATAGAGAGATAGGTTATTGTTGGGAAATGCAAAAAAATATAGAAATAATCTGAAAAGATAAAAATAAACGAAATTACCATCAAAATATAGATCCCGACGAGAGGAATCCAACGGTGGATGACCCGTCAAATTTCGACCGGTGGAACACAAAAAATAAAGCTCCGGCAAGACCACCGTTCTTGAATGAAAAAAAATTGCAGAAACAGATCCGCGCTCGAAACTGAATGAAATCACCACCAAAAGAGAGAGCTCGGCGAGAGGAATCCAACGGTAGTTAAACCATCGAATTCCGACCACCGGAGAGAGAGTTATGGCTCCGGGAAGCAATTTCGCCGGTGAAAGGTTTGTAGAGGCGGGATTTTGAATATGGGAGAAGAAGAGAGAGACCGTGAGTGGCTATGGTTAAAACTGATTTTAGAAGGGTATTATAGGAACTTCAGGGTAGCCCAGGGGGTATGTCAAAATATTTTCGAAATGAGGGGGGTTTCACCTAGAGTGTAATCCACTTGATAGTTAATTCTATATAATTTGGAAATAAGGGGGGTCTACAAAATAATCCCATTTTTTTTATTATAATCTGTACTACTATTTATTTAAATAATTATTTTCCTCTCTACTTTAATGCGACCCCGTGCAAAGCACATGGACGATTACTGGTTACAATTATTAATAGCAAAAAGTTCATAACAAATTTGGGCTTTCAAAGTTCATAATAAATTTGTTCTTCACCCATGTGCTATTTATCTGGGTTAATCAAAATCTAAGTGAATTTTTTTTATTAATTAGGGTTAACTATTTGGGCTTATAGCGCTGATGAAGTAAATTTCAAGTGTCTAAATCTACCGGCCCATGTTACAAGTTAAAAAACCCTAGCTTGACTGTATAAAAATGACGCGCACACACCAAGAGACATTCATCAAGCATTCAAAGTCGTCAAGCATCCAAAAGCTCTCAAGTCTCGAGCCCTAGCCACGCAGAACTACAATCGTGAAGGTTCTACATCTTTATCAAACACACAAATCTGAAAACCTAAAAATCATCATATTGATTTTATTGTATTTATACCTTCTTTGCAAATTTGGTCATATTGATTTTATTGTATTTATACCTTCTTTGCAAATTGGTGGAGGTTCTACATCTTTATCAGTACACAAATCTGAAAACCTAGAAATTCCATTATTGATTTTATTGTATTTACACTTTCTGTTGAATTAATCGTGAGACAAAAATTAGAGGATTTATTCAGAACTTGGAACCCAATTTTTTTTTAAATAATAATATTTATTTATCCATTGAATTAATTTTGAGAGAAAAATCAGAGGATTTATTCCGAACTTGGAATCCAATTTTCTTTTAAATAATAATATTTATTTTTCCATATTTTTAGTATCTTGTAATTTATTTTTGAAACATTAAATTTGGGGGTGAAAGTGTTCGCCCTCTTCAACTTCTCCCCCATCATCTTTTTCCTTTAAATTAGTCTTTAGGGACCACCACCACCACCACGCGCCACCATCACACCACGCGCTACCATGGCTTCCCTTCAACTCTTCTCAAACCCCAATCATCGTTAATAAACTCAGCAACCCAATATACATATAAACACCTCTATCCCGCCAATTTTTTTTTTTTTTTTTTTTTTTTGTTTCTCCTCTCATCCCCAATTCAATTTACTGCAGAATCATTAAAACCCTAATTTTTTTTTTCTGAACCAGTTTGCTCAAATTCTCAAATAGAGCATCCCGCCCAACAATGGCAGGTGTCAACGCAGACCTAATTTCGCAGTACTTCAAAAAAGGCGCCGACGTCGAAATCAGCAGCGACGAAGAGGGTTTTCGTGGCTCCTTATACGCCGGCACCGTAATTCGGCCCCCCGGAAACCTAACCAGCCGCTCCGCAAAGGTGATGGTGGAGTACAAGACGTTAATGGAGGACAAGGCGGGGAAGCGGCGGCTGAGGGAGGAGGTGGAGCTGGTGCAGCTCCGGCCGCCGCCGCCGGAGGAAAACCGGCCGAGCTTCAAGTTCAGCGATGAGGTGGACGCGTACTACAACGATGGGTGGTGGGAAGGGATAATCACTCAAGTGGTGGGGGAGGATAATAAGTATTCGGTTTTCTTCCGTGGCTCGAGGGAGCAGATTACATTCAAGGCCTCCAATCTGAGGCTCCACCGCGAGTGGGCCAACGGCATGTGGGTCCCGCCTCTAGAACCGGCCGAACCTTCCCCTGCTGCTGCCGAGACGCCCAAGAGTGAGAGCCGTAGGTCTAAGGTAATTAATATTTAATTAATTGTGTGTGTTTGTTTGTTGATTACAACTTTTTGCTTTACATGCTTTTTTTTTTTTGCTTTGTTTAGACTTCGATTCCAGCTGCTAAGACGCCTAAGAGTGAGGGACGCAGGTCTAAGGTAATAATTCCTTTTATGAATTGGTATCTGATGATTATTGGGAATTGGGATCTTATTGTGTGTGTATATTGTATTTTGATATCGTATATTTGCGTGTGTTGGATGAAAACTTTTCGTTCTTGCTTTATTTTGTGTGTGTTTTTGTTTTTGGGCTTCCTATTCCATTTTATTTTGGAGAAAGATGTTTTGGGAGAAAAACTTGAAAATAAAATAAAGTTTGTTTGTGATTTGAGAAGAGTCAATTTGTACCAATCAACCATTTCTGAAAAGTGTTGGGAAAAATGTATTTTGCAAGAAGAATTTGAAATATAAAGTGATTTTAGTTTGTATTGTGAAAATATTTTTTACTATAGCAGTCAAATCAAAATCATATTTGTTACAGAGAGAAACATTTGAATTTTTTTGGAGAAAGAATTTGAAAGTATTTTAGAAACATAATTTTATTTTGGGGAAAGAGTGAAAAGAATTTGAAACGGTAACAAATATAACCTAAGTTGTTCGTGTACTTCGATTCCGGCATAAAGAAAGTGCGAAATCCGTAGAGTTTTTGGGTTACATCATAAGATCAATGTAAACCGTTGACTCTTCTAAGAACTTATTCGTAGTTCTAGGATCATCAATAAGTTTCATAAGATCGTTTAGTATATTTATACTTGATTCTTTTGTTTAGAGAACATGCATATTTTCAGGAAGAACGATTAGATCAGTTGTGATCTTGTTTCTCACTAGCTTCTTCTACTCCAAGGTCTCAAAATTTGGTATTTGATATGAGATGCAAAAACATACAAAGTGTCCTAACCCTAACAGTTGCAAATCTGGACACATAGACTGTTGCAACAGTTCATGCCATTGCATCAGATTAAAAAACATAAATTCCCAGTAATATCTGTAAGGAATCGGATCTCTGTGCATCAAGGGGTTTAGTATAATTATCAGCTAATTTTTTCTCTGTTGTAACATGATCGACTGAGACGACAGCCGTTTCAACCAAGTCCCTTAAGAAATAATGACGGAAGTCAATATGCTCAGTTTTAGAATACTGGACTGGATTTCTTATAAGTCAATGATGTTACCGGTGATGATGAGTTGAATGATTAAGGTTATTGTGGTTATCGCCAAGTCTGTAATTCTTATAAAAACGGTGCATTGGCGTATTCATCGACATATGCTTGTGTTATCCCGTGCTTCCTAAAACTCGTTGGGGAACTTCCTTTTCCGAAAATGAAAATCCAGTCGTTTTCTCTTTTACATTTTGTGTAACTCCTCAACTATGTCCGGACGAACTTGTTTTAAAGCAAACATTTTTTTCGCAATTTTTTGAACCGTTTTTAAGTTAAAGTACTGTTGCTAGATTGGATGGAGTGACTATTCGGGAAGTAGATGAAAATATATCAAATTTGTTGCGGGGAGAGGGTAAAGATTTTGTGAATCGGCACCAAAACATATTTCGTAGCAGCTAAACAAAAAGTTATCTAGAGAGTTTGAAAAAGTGTTGGCAACGATTATTCGATATTTTCATGTGTGACTTGTTGACGTAGTTGATAACTCCACTTTCGTGTCTAAATATTTTTTGATTTGGTTAGGACATATAGATAAGATCTAATGTATATATCAATTTCTTCAGACTATTGTTGCTTCTTTCTTTTCAAGAAATCTTGCAACCGTTGTGAGTGCATTTTGATGTCTTGCATTGATATAGGGACTTGATAAAGTTGATATATAGTTGCAATCAATTGTTACATAATGCTGCTACGATTTGGATTAAAATATTCGCAAATTAGGGAAAAAAACAAAGCAGGTTGCACGATTAGTTAAGCAAATTGTTAGTCAGATGTCACTGCAATATACGTTTAGCTTCTCTTTTGTTAAAAGATTTAATTTCATGTGCTGATATTTCAAGCATTTCGATGCAGAAACGTTCGTTGTCAAACGAAGTGGAAGCTAACGAAGAGGTGGTCGAACGTACTTTTAATCCAGGAGAACATGTTGAAGTCCAAAACGACGAAGAGGGTTTCGAAGGTGCTTGGTTTGGTGCAACTGTGATGAAAAACTTAAAAGAAGGCAAGTATCTGGTCGAGTACCAAACCCTAAGAAACGACGACGACACAAATTTCCTGAGAGAAGAAGTTGATAGCCTCCATATAAGGCCGGTCCCACCCGATGTTGAACTGATTGACCGTTTTGAAGTTGACGATGAAGTCGATGCTTCGTGTAATGATGGATGGTGGAGGGGCACGATTTCCAAAGTCCTTAAAAACGATAGATATTCCGTATACTTCAAGACTAGTGATGAGGAATTGAAGTTCAATCACAGTGACCTTCGAGTTCATCAGGAATGGATAAACGGCAAATGGAATACTGCCTCTAAGGTACTACACTTTTGCTTGCAATTACGATTATGTTTATATCGTTCCAGTTGTTGACCTGTCTTTGTAATCTCTACATGTGAGTTCTTTTTACCGGAATTTTATATACAACATAAGCATATGTGTATGAATATTCGTAGATTCACAATTGCTGGATATCAATTACAACATAACCTACACGATTTGCAGTGAATATGAGCAGGAAGACTTTATAGATGTGAATTTTCATTTTTTGGTTATAAACTGATATACAGTAGAACCTCGATAAATTAATACTCGATAAATTAATAACCTCGATTAAATACTGGTTTCTCCCGGTCCCGACTCGGTGAAAACGTGTTAAATTATTAACTCAATAATTTAATTCGCTCAACTAATAGAATTTCCCTGATCCCGATTGTATTAATTTATAGAGGTTTACCTGTATCATTAATTTTTTTTGTGTCCTTGTTATATAGGTTAATTACCACCTCCTCCCCTCTAAAAGAAAAACCACGTTGACCTGTCCTCTCGTAAAATCTACTATTACCCAGCAGTAAAGTATATAAACCAAAAAATCATAGTCTTACTTTCACTGCTATTAGGTAATAGCTAAAATGCCAATTTACGTCGAGTGAATTAATTTTAGGTGAAGATATACATTGCTCTTGCCCACCTACTCGTTCTTGTTATTACAAATATCCTCGCTTTGAAATTCAGGAGATTTGTAACGTTTTGTTTTTTTTCTTTTTTAAAGTTTATTATCGGTTCCCAGTCAGATAATTGCATAGAATAAATTTACTACATAAACAACCATTCGATACTAAAATTAATGTGTGATTTAAATGTATGCTCACAAATGGCTTAATTGTACGCTTTGTAGGCTTTGAAGTTTTAGCGCGGTGATGTGGTGCTCGGTCGCAAAATGGTTCCGGGAGTGTATATGTTTTCATCTCCTGCTGAAATGTTCTTTGTACCATATCTTTTTGTTTTTGTTCGTCTTTTTGAGGGAGTTCTTTGTACCATATCGCAACAATCATCTTATGATATTTTGGTGATAATCACTATTGATCAAATATGTAGGAACTGGGGCTCCCTTTTTTGTGAGGAATATGTAGGAACTGGGACTTGGGATTATAGAACTAGTAATTTTTTTTTATGGGGCTTGCTATTATCAGTGCGGTTTTTACCACTCGCAGTGCAAAATAATTCATTTTTTTTTTCTTTCCCAAATCTTATCCAAACCCCTCTCAAACACTCTCAACCTTTAATTCTTGAAATTTTTCAAATTCAATAATTTTTCGACCAATATTAGTTAGAGCACAAGTATTATCAACATAGATGACAACAACTTCGATTTTGAGGTGAAAATACACGTTTTTTGTTCTTTTCTAACGTTTTTAGACATTCCGTGTTATCTCACACCAAATCTATTCTTCCATTTCGTGTAATACTATACGAAATATGTCTTAAAAACGTTTGTTGTTTGTTTCGTAGAAAAACCTACGAAATGAAAGCTTACATTTCGTAGTAAAACCTACGAAATCAAAGTTCTTATTTCGTATGTTTTTACACGAAATTGTAGCTTACATTTCGTGCTATTTCATACGAAATCCCGTAAATATTGTCTTTTAATTTCAAATATTTATGCAGGAACTAAGAGAACAATCTTACGATCATAGTCACTTCTTTGAACGTGGTATTGTGTGTGATAGTAGAGAAGTGTTAATTATGTGGGCAAAAGAGAGCAATTAGTCATAATCACCGACTGATTAATCATTGTAAATAAGAAAAATATCATGTTTTAACGTGTGCAAGATATCAATCTGGACGACACGTACTATTGAAGAAACGTTCTTGTCCGTTCAGGTTAATTGGCAAAAAATCAACGGAGGATGGATTATGGCGATTGAGTGTGAGTAATGGTAATCATAACCATATGCCGTGTATTTGAAAGTTTAACTTATGTTTAAATTTGTATTTGTTTTAATTTTGCATTTTAGTGTTTAATTTATGTTTTGGAATATTTAAATTTGTAGTGTTGTGTTTTGCATTTTTATGTTTAACCTATGTTTTTGGAATGATTAAATTTGTAAGGTTGTTTTTAAGGTTGTTTTGGAATATTTAAATGTGTACTCTAATTGCTTCAGTTCTACGTAATTTCTAAATTCAAATCATAAAACTAGTGAATTAAAATACAAAACAACAAACTAGTAAATTAAATAGTTCGTAATAATAATAAACAAAAGGGATTATTAGCAAGATCCCCCATCATCTAGGAAATGTAGTTAAGAAAATCCCCCTTCCAAAAATAATTTGAGAAAACCCCATTGGTTAGTATTCCACCAAATATTATTTTTATAATTCCAAATTTATCCTTAATTGTCAATATACTATTTTGAAACCCTAATTTCTCTTTCCCAAATTCACACCTTTCACCACCGCCAATGCTTCTCCGCCACCGTCCACCGCCGCCGCCGTACCAACCACCAATGTCCCTTCGTCGTTCCACCACTCAACCTCACTTCGTCTTCGCTATACTCAACGAGGCTATTCACTTCGTCTTCGCCATGCTCGACGAGGCTATTCTCTAAACATTACAAAATGCATCCATTTAATTTCTTATGTGTTAAATATGTATATCTACTCTGTACTACTTAGAATATGGAAGTGGGGTGGTGATGGTGTGGTGTGGCGACGACGTGGTGTCGATGAAGAGCAGATCTAGGGTTTTTTGGTGGATTGTGGCGGAAGACGGCGCAGAAAAAAGAAATTCGCGCAGATAGAGCCCTTAATCGACTACGTGTGTTTAATCGACTATGTTTAATAGTCGATTAAGGCTTAATCGACTATGTTCAGTAGTCGATTAAGGTTAACCGACTCCAGTTGTTATTTATTTTTTTATTTTTTTGATTTTTTTTATTGATTCCAATGTATAAATCAATTACAATGTTTGTATATTTTTTTTAAAATATAGTTGATTTTGCATTTTTTTTTGTAATTGTGATTTGTTATTTTTAATAGCTAAAATTTTAATCGACTATGCATTAATAACCCTGATAGAGAAAAAAATTAAAAAAACCAAAAAAGATTTAAAAACAAAATTAGAAACAAAAAAAATATTAAAAACTTAAAGATTTTCCTTAATCGACTATGAAGCATAGTCGATTTAAGACTAATCGACTATGTTTCATAGTCGATTAAAAAAACGGAAAAAAAAAAAAAAAAAAAAATCGCGGAGCGCTGGCCCAGTGATGAGGTGGCTGGCGGGGGTAAAGCTGGAAAACATAATGGCTAAAAATGGGTGTGGACTTTTCTCAAATGGACTTAAATATTTTGGGCCTCCCTCAATTAAAAAAAATAATGAAGGGGTTTTCTCAAAGAGCCCCTAAACAAAATTAGTAAAATAATTAGTTCCTAATAATAATAAAAACAAATTATTAAATTAAATAGTTCCTAACAATAATAAAAATGCATAGTCCTAATAATAATAAAAATAAACTTTAAAATTAAATAGTTCATAAAAATACACAATTGGCAAAAAAATCGATAAACTATCGCCTCGCTCTCCTCGGCGGCTGCACCTCATGATTGTCGTCGTCGTCGTCGTCGTTGTCCTGGTGGATGCCAATATAACGGGCTGCAGGCTGCATAATATCTCCAACGTCGGCACGTAGATTGGCAAACTGTTGCATCCAGTCATGTTTAGTGCTCCTGGTGATCGGGTACAATGCACGTACTATCTAGTAATAAGCCGGCTGATCTGGTGGCCTCACATTCTCTCGATGCAGTTGAGTCGGGCCTACGTCGGGGTTGTTGATCTTCAGATGAGTCCGATCGGTGTACCACTCCATGTAGTGCTCGTCGACTTCCCCCCGTTGTCGTGCCGTCTTGTATACGTTCACACGAATGGAATGAGCCTGGACCATGTCCCACATACCACCGAAAATGGGTAGTTGACTTTGTACGATGCACCTCATTTGGGACCGCGTGAACATGGCTCCATCGATGGAATCAAGCCGCACGAAATATCCTGAACCCACCCGAACTGTCGGGCACAACGATCATGCATATACAGCTCTACGACCCACATGTACTGGATGGTGCCATAATACTACGTACGAGGGATACTCTCGTGTATATCCTGACCATAAAGTAGCCACTCAACCTAAACAGAAAACAATATAAATACATAAATCAAAAAATTCATATTTAAACAAACTACAAACATAAATCGAAAAAATCATATTTAAACAAACTACAATTACATAAAATCAAAAAAATTCATATTTAAAAAAAATATAAACACATAAATCGAAAAATTCATATTTAAAAAAAATATAAATACATAAATATAAAAAACTTATATCATATGTTGTCATATTGTCGAGTAAACCTCGAATATGCTCGAGCGTGCCCGCTTTTGGCGGTGCGTTCCACCTCTTGCATCGAGACTGAAACTCGCGGTACAGCTCGCTCTCCTCCGGCAGCTGAAATCTCGGAAAATACTCGTATATCCAGCACTGCAATATTTTATTTAAAGATATTTAGGGAAATAAACAATAGAGAATATATAAATTTAAAAACATTATGAACAAAATAAGTACAAAAATATATTAAAATTTATCTGAAGAAGGGTGGTGCAACCCGTCAAGCTCCTCGACTATGCTCGACTGCATATACCCAGCTCCCTGTATAGATTGGCCAAACAGGCCGAACCCCACGAATACGTGCCGACCTGATCAAGCACTGAATCCTCGAGCACGTGCATATACCACGGCTTCACCCGATCACATGTCTTATCGGGGAATAAAATCGATCCGAGGAGAAACACCAGATATATCTGAGCTCGGTCATCAACAACTGTCCCTGCATCATCCTCCATGTGGGGCCCCCATGCTTCCATGACTTGTCGATCTCCTAAAATCGAGGTTAATACATCGGACAGCAAATACACGCAGTTTTTTCCGCTCGATGACCTTGTCGTACCTGGCGTGACCACCCGTCCCTCCACATTGGCACCTAGAATCATCTGGACATCGTGGAGAGAGTGATAGTCATCTCTCCCCACGGCATATGGAAGTTGTTCGTCTCCGGCTGCCACCGCTCCACGAATGCAAACAACAGCGGACCATCTATGCGCGGTAAATAACATCGGGCTAGGGGATACAAACCGGTTATCCGCAGAAAAGGCTTGTCTGCGGATACATCTACGTCTAGGGCAGCTGCTATCTTCTTGTAGTTGAAATAGTTCAGGGAGTTGATATGGGACTCCACTCGTCCAACCGGACGTTCCTGCAATCATTTAATTAGAACATATTAATTAATCAACTATAAAAATATTTTAATATAAGATACAAAAAATATAATATTAAAATTAAAACAAGTAATTAACTTACTTCTCCCCTCCAAATATATGCCGCTACGTGCGACTTGAAACTCGGAATCAAAGACGGATCCCGCAGGCCACCGGGAAATGGACCATCTAGCACATGCGGATTGACTCAAGTATGACTTCGACCACCACGAGCTCCACGGCCCCGTACTCGGCCTCCACGACCTCCACGACCTCCAGGAGCTACAACCTCAGTCTCGTGAACGGGGTCCACAACATCCTCCTCCTCCATAGCATGAGAAGACCCGACATCGGGATGTGCAACCGATGATCTGGCTTCACCAGCTCTCTCAGCCTCTCGCCTACGTCGTGTAGATATAGACATGCGCTCGCGCTCGCACTCTTGATGCTCAACCTCTTCACGAACTGTTCGCATAATTGCCTTTGTTTTGCCTTTGCCTGCCATCTGTTAAATAAGACACTATTAACGTTAGTCTAGATAATAGTAATAATAAAACAAATCTTAAAAAAAACTGAAATTTTGCAATCATTTCGTGGAAAAATACACGAAATTAATGTTTACATTCCGTGTTTTTGTTCACAAAATACAAGCATTAATTTCGTGTATTTTTCCACGAAATTACTGCATAATGCCCGAAACACACAGTTTTCGTGCATAGTACCTACGAAAGAAAAGTTTACATTTCGTGCGATTTCTCATGAAATTAAAGCTTTCGTTTCATAAGATTTTGCACGAAACTTAAAAGAAACAAAAAATCCTGCTAATTTTGTGGAAAAAATCACGAAATTAGCCCTTTAATTTCGTGATTTTTTCACGAAACGCAATTTTTTTTCGAAAAGTTTCGAAGTGCTTCGAAATACTGAAAACGTATAATTCACGGGAATTTGAAGGGCCTTGGATAGGGCTTGAGAGGATTTTGAATTTTTTGAAGAAAAGTCACAAATGAATCTAAAATGCACTGCAAGGCAATAAAAGTTGAACTATAAATAGCATTTCAGTTTTTTTTATTTATGCAGATGGCTTTTCAAATGTATTTTATTTATTTTATTCGGTCTCAATTATCACCAATCTTTTTGAAATGGTCACTTTGGCAAATTTATTCATATATCTATACGGATGGTACTTGTCATTCCATTCATGCTCAATTCAAATCACCGGTGGTCTTCAAAAAATCTCACGAAAATCTTTTTTGTTTTCATCTCCAATGCTACTACACATCAACCCCCTGCAAAAAAGTCCTACCGTGTTGTATTTCTTGCAAACAAGTTTTTCTACTAGTTTTTATAAAATAATAGAAAGTTCATTACTCAAGACCGGATCTAACGACGAAGGATCTGGTGGAGATGAATCAGGAGGAGCTGAATTGGGGAGAAGCTAAACCGGGAGGAATTGACTCGGGAGGAGCTGACTTAGGAGGAGCTTGTCTTTTTAAATAGACTTGACTAAAACGGAGTTTGGTAGGAACAACCGCCAAGACAGGTTCCGAGGACGTGATAGTATAAACTAACAAATCACCATCCTTCCTCTGTCGCGATATATCATAAGACTGGAAACTATGGTTTGTCAAAGTAACATCAGCGTACCAAACAAAACAAGTACACCCAAATATTTTAGGTGCAATAGGAAACAAAAGGATTTTGGGGAGAATAATTTTATAGGGAATCCCGCCGGAGAACAGAAGAGGGTATGCGATTAATCAGAAAACATGTTATTGAAATAGCATCTACCCAAAAGGTTTTAGGAACACCCATTTGGAACAATAGGGCACAAGCAAGAAGGTGACTATTCTGTTTTTTTTTTTTTTTCAGCTACTCCATTCGGAGATAAAGTGTCAACACAAGAGGTTTGATGAAGAATGCCATTTTGGAGCATGTAAGTTTGAAAGGCCGTGAACAAATATTCTTTGGCATTATCATTTCGCAGAGTACGGATAACATTGAATTGAGTTTTACCCTCATAATAAAAATATCTCAGAACGTTTTTGTTAGAGTAGGTAACCAACAAGCCAACTTGTGGCTGTGGTCATTCATTTATTATTGTAATAAATAATCCTTCTTCGTATTAATGAGAAAAAAATCTTTGTCCTTTGCATAAATATAGATGTAGTCCTTAGAGTTATTTTAATTACTTATAATTGATCTAGTAGAATCATGAGATATTTAGTTAAGTAATATAATAGTTAAACCATGTTCCTAGTCAACGGGTTACGCCATCATGTTGGTCTTTACAATAGTATACAATAATATTATTGCATTAATCGGTCAACAAATCAAACAAAACAAAAAGGTCAAAAAAAATTAATATTGACGTGGTTGACAGTAATATTATTGTGTTTACAGTAATTTTACCGTCAACGACAGTAATATAATTACGTTGACTTATCAACAAATCAAACAAAATAAAAGGATAAAAAAATAAAAAAAATAAAAAAATCAAACTAATTACGGTTAATGAGAGTACAATTACATTCAACGTTCTGCAGCGAGCGTAAAAAAAATGGATAAAAATTTTAGGGGAAATTTTTTCTGAAAAATCAACGCCAAAAACCTACGGCAAAAGGAAAATTCATAAAAAGAAAAGTTTAAAGAAAGGAAAAGTCAAATTTGAATTTTTGTGGTAAAAAATGATTAAATTGAAGTTAAATTGGGATTACAATTAGGAATTGAGTATAAAGGATTTGATGTAATTTTGTCATATACTTTACTTTTAATTAAAATGATGAGCTTATTGACGAAAGAACTCTAACCCTTGAACCAAGAAAAATAAAAATGGTTAGGAACTTCTTCATAAAAACACCTTAAAATAATTCCAAGCGCAGTTAGCTCCAAAAACAACTAAAAAGAGAATTCGTAAATAAGCCAATAAATCCACTGCTCATTACAGCAACTCATACATCTCACAATAATGGAAAAAGAGATTTCTGATGAACTCTTACCCCTCCAAAGAGAAAAAAGAAAAAGAAAAATACAGTCATCAACAAACCGTAACTAAAATACAGCTTTCGGTGGTAATTAACTACTAAGCCCGAATTCTGCAAAGTCAATAATTCAACTACATGAATCTTCGAAGAAAATCTTTGATCTCGTCTATGTACGGAGATCTCGTCGGAATTATATGACCAAGGTCATGTTCGACAGTAACCGAACACCCCTTCTCAAACAATGACGCAACGTTTTTACTTGCTTCGCAATTTATCTGTCTATCTTTACCTTCTTTATTTCCGAAAATATGAAGTGATGGACAGTTAATCGAACCCTCGCCATAGTCTGCTATATTATTAACAGCAAAACCGGAGCACAAAATCACGAATCGGAAATCAATCTCGCCTTTAAGCTTCTCCATTTTTGCACCAACTAAAGCAGCCATTGCAGCTCCTTGTGAGAATCCCAATATACCATCAAAGGGCCCTTGTTGAGAAAAAATAGTCTTTAAATAATCGATGGACTTGTCAAATCCCTCGGTTTGCTGCTGGTACTGGAGGGAGTCGAACGGGGCTTTAGCCATCGACCAATCAGCATCATGCTTTCGATCATCGTAGTCTGAAGAAACAAGCCATGCAAACTTTCTATTGCAACGGTTTGGAAAGGGAGTTTCGGAAGTGTGGTTTTGGTAAATAAATGGTAATTCGTGCGGTGCATCGATAAACACAAACTCGGCCATGTTCTTGAGTTTCTTGGCGAATGATGATGTTCTTCCTTTGAAACTCGACGCGTTCTGCCGGAAGCCATGCAAGCATAAAATTCGAAGCTTTCTGATTGGTTTAGTTACTACATCTGTATGTTGTCCTGCACAACGGAGCCAGTATTTTTTCTTTTTTTTTTAAATTAAGAAATGTCAAACGATGCTTTATGTTAAACAGTTGAAAAATGCTAAAATAGACTCACCTTTAGTCCATGAAGAAGATGGTGATTCTGCGGCTTGATCCACGTAAAAACTATGATCATTAGATACTGGTTCCAGTACTTCTTCGGACATATAATCTATGGAGGAAACTGACTCGACTGGCTTGCCACTTTTCTGGCACAGTTCACAAACATAAGAAGAATTCTTTTCCTGCAAAAAAATTAATTCAAATATATTTAAATTGGCCTTTTACCATGCAATAATTTTGTGCATAATTAAAGCAACTGGTTGTGAGTTCGTAATTTTATTCACTAGACCTTCGCTGTGTGTTTGAGGGTTCGAGTTTTGTGAATAGAACATACCCGACAACTATCACAGATCAACACAAGCATCCTACAGTGAGTACAGCGGCAGCGTGAAGTATAATCATCAAATGAAGCACCGCAGAGAAGGCAAGTTCCCAAGATATTAGTATCGAAGCTCCCAACTGAAACCCTAGAACAAATTGATCATGACGGATAAATAAGTTACCGAAATCAATGTCTTCACAGACAGAAATTCATTCCTTAAAGCAGACTAAATTTAGTGAACACTTTAAAAATAGCATTATGAACATTTGTTTAGCCGATGCTGCGAGAAATTAATTAGGCTACTGCCAAAGGTCGTCTATAAGAATTGACGAGATCTTGATAACTTGTACATCAAAACTAACTTCTAATTGGAAGGACACCTCATAAGAATAACTGAGAATGTGTAGGGGTAGTTGACCACCCCGATTACCGTGCAAATCAAGAATTGAAAGTTGCATTGGAAGTATAGTAAAGGATTAACTGCGCCAATATATCAGTAAGAGTAAGTCAGATTTATGAAATAGAGAGAAGTACATACAATCATACCTATGGTCAAAAACAAAATTCTTTCCTTTGAAAAATCCACCATCGGGAAATTGTTCCATATATCTTTGGATTCCACCATACAACTGAAAAGCAGCCACTTTGAACATCAGCATTGAATACTAAATATGGTTTCACTTCCATTCCCTAACGGCACGTTTTTCAGTCTAAACACTCAGATAAACAGCCCAACAAGAGAGTAAACAAAAAAGATAAAATTCTGAAGAACGGGTAGACCGCATGGACATTCAACGGGGACAACAAAAAACACAAGGAAATATACAAAAAGTGATCAAGAACAAGCAGAGTCAAATCTCTGGTCAAATTAGTGGATTCAATAGTAAAATAGTCTCACCATATTTTTGGTTAAAAGGATTTTTTTTTTTAATTTAAATCATGTTAAAAATGTGCAAGTATGTGGGAGGAGCAGGATTCGAACCCTAGACCTTGACCCTAATAATCAAGGCTTCCTAATTAGATTGGTTGGTTAAAAGAAGTTTACACATTTTGTTTCTGGACCAGGTAACCTTTTACTTAATTGAGCAGATAACGGCGGTAAGTTTCCGAAAGGTCAAGCTTAGATATGCAAACAGAAAGTCAACTCAAGTTCTATGCACGAGGGAAATGCCGTGAGTCTAGAGAAGCAAGAAACAACAGAAGTATGTCCAAGGTTCATTAGGGCCAGATAAACAGAATAAAATGCATGACCTTCGAGTTTCGGAAAAATAATTTAAGGCGCAAATTCATGAAAAATAAAACGAAGCAGCCTTTCCCACAACAAGACAAAACATGAAATCGTAATTCAAATGCATATATCTATAACTCCAAAGAGCTGCTATTGTCTCTATTTAACATGTTCATTAGCAGAGGTTCCACTAGCTTCTTAAAAGCAGCAGTTCCTCTTCTTATTATTTGGGTGCCTGATGTTGAATGATTGTACACAAGGAACGAAGAAATCAATTTAAGGATATAATTTATTATTATAATACAGCAAGAGTCTAGCTCAAGTCTCAAGGTTAATTCGTCCAATTCCAAGCAATTGGTTTTTTTGGCTACAGGCTCATTTACATTTCCATTGTTAAGGCAAGTTATGATCACATTAAGCGATGTGGACCGTAAAAAAATATACAAAATAACAGGGGCAGCTATTGTTCAGTGATCAGATGATCTCACCTGAAAAACATTTTCAAAACCAGCACCTTTAGATCTGATATAAGCTGACGCCATCTCACATCTGATTCCTCCAGTACAGTACCTTCAAATGATAATAAATGGAGTATAGATTCATAAAAATATGTTTCATACAAATTGAGGAGGCTGCATTAGCACATAAAGAAAAATATCAATGCGTACGAGATCGTAAAGCAAGCGGAGTTTAGAAGATATAATCCATATTCCATAACCACAGACATCGGGTAGTTCTACACAAGTAAATCCAATAAAGCTATAGTAATAATAATGCAAGTAAAGAAAATCGCAAAGGAAGGAGGAAAATAATCACCATATTTTCTACAAGTGCCATACATGGATTGTAAAAAAACCCCTTCCCGTCAACTTAATGAAGATCAAGAACATAATGATTTACCAACGATAAGGTTAACTTATTGTGGTGGCCAAACATCACAAAAAAATATTACCCAAGTACCCTAACCATTTTGAATCAAAAGTAGGCACAGGATTCTGAACAAGTTTATAAACAACTATGATTATCAGTTAACCATAGTACTCGGCAAGAAACAAAAGAAATCCCTTGTTTTGTTTAACCACTCAAAAACATTATGACAGTGAAACCAGACATGGCGTGCATCAAGGTATATAAAAGATTTCACCTCTACTGAAAAATTATGAAAATGCACATGTTTTATCAATAAAAGCTCTAATATCCAATGAAACAGAGAAGAAATATCAAAAATAAAAAAATAAACTTAAAAGTACAAGCACAAGCCACACTTCAGCTCCACTGGGGTCAAAGAAATTGAATCAACAACATATATTTCATAAAATTGAACCACATAGTCGGCTTCAGTTTAAGAACTCACATAAGGATATTGTTTCCTCTCAATTGCTCAGAGTTGTTGTCTATCCACAACGGCAAGTCACTATACTGTCTGATTTCTGGATCCAAAGTTTTGACATCTGGAGTATCAAACTTCCCGATTCTTGTCTCATACAAGTTTCTTGCATCTAAAAGTATCATTTTTTTGTCAGAACCAGAACTTTTTTCTTGACCATTCCCTGGGAAAATAACCAAAAAAATCAATATTAAAAGGCTAGAAAGGGACTTTTTTCTTGACAATTCCCTTGGAATGTAACCAAAAAGTTCAATATTGAAAGGCTAGAAAGAAACTTTTGCGATTTATCATTCAGCATAAAATGGAAGCCGAGGCACTCTCATATCATCTCAGGTATATAACTTTTATTGAATTTCATTTCTCAGGACCAAAACCAAGCAACTGAACTACGTACAAAGAACTTGGGAAAAGGGGGAAAGAAAAGAAACTCATGAATCAATAGAACAATAAATACCAGCACTTTGAAGAACGGAATGAAATTCAGTTGCAGAGAGATGCCTTCCAGCATTTGAAATCTCCGGGGACTTCAACAAGGGATGAGAACCTAAAGTCACCAATTCCTATGGACAGTATGACAACCTGCTTCAGCTTCAATATGAGGGAAATAAAGCAGATGATTCTGCAAAACCCAACCAGTTTAGATAGAGTAAAACGCTCAGGCAACAAAGAGACCTTTTTGAGATAAAAATATTAAATAGACCAACTAGGGCGCAATTTGACTTTCGTAATATTATAATGGGGATGGGCAGAGGCCACATGCGCATCTTTTTCCGTCAGAACATATGCTTACACACACTCAAGAAAATCAGAACTACCGCATAAATTGATCCTCGCATACGCAACCCAACCCACCCAAAAAGATAAAGGAACCAAATCTACTTTGCACTTCTATATTAACCAAGATTATGCTAAGTGTGCTCTTCTCTAATCCACTAATTTCAGATTCCTTCTGCTTTGTTATTATATGCATTCTCATTCACGAAGAAGACATTATTCCAAAACAGCATGACTAAGAGCGTCATCTTATAGACACTTAATTTTGGTCAACAATGAATTCGAGGGAATAAGACTCGACTTTAACTCTTGATTCTAAGTTACAATAGTTGAAAATGATTAGACTCTCGTTTAGGTAAATTCTCATCGCTGGTCTCCCAGTAGACATCCTTAATTGGGCCATCTTACCCAATTCCGACAACTATCTGGACCAAAAGTTACACAAAACCAATATATCCGACTTTGAACTACTCTTTATCTAATATATTCACACAGAAGCATCTATAGGAACTTCTTCCCTAAATTAGGGCGGACCATAAAAAGATCTTGATCGACCTCCCGTGTACAAATCCATGAGACAAGCTTCCAGGCCTAAGTCAATACTCTGTGACTCTCTACCAAAGTTTCATTGTAACAACAATTCAATACTATCTGGGCGGGTATAAATATCGCAATCAGATGTACAATCCTATTTGTCATCTTTATTATTAGAAATGTGAGATAACATGTATCTATCTTCCCCCACAACAGTTCTTCTGGTTTGCGGTTAACACTAGATTCTTTTACCGTGTTTTATGAACATCATTAAAATTTTGCTAAATATATTTAAACTCAAAACTGCCCCTTCAACCCACAATTTAAGAACTTGTACAGTTACTGGAAACTGCTATGTAAAACAGCTGTGGTTGAACATATAGGCAGGAAATTCAATCAAGGTGAGATAAAACAATTCTGAATACATAGCTGACAGCAGAAAAAGCAATAAAATTGCTTTCGAGTTCGATCTCTATAATCAACAGACAACAAATGATTGAACCATTAAGCAATAAATTTAAACAATTCATGAACACAGAATACAGTTTCATGCATGATATATTTATCCAAGTTGCTTTGCACAGAAATCCACAGCCTTTAAAATTAACAAAAACTGCAAGCAGATAAACTAAATTTGAATACAACCTTGACAATCCGGATAGAGAGAGAAGTGAATCCACATTCTTTTGCGACTTGATTATCCACAGGCTCAAGGCAGGAAGCGAGCTTGAAATCAGTCCCTTCGAACAAAGGATTTGATTTCACTGCTTCAATGTGTTTCTCCAACGCCCTCAATCTCCCGCCAACCTGCAAATCATAAAAAAATGGCGAAAATTGAGAGGAAAAAAATGATTTTATTTTTTTATTTTTATTTTTTTTTTTTGGAAGAAAAAAAAACGGGGATTACGGTGACGTTGACTCCGGTGGAGGAGAGGCGGACGCGGCCGAGGAGGGAGAGGGAAGTGCAATTTGAATGGTAGAAATCGAAGAGGTTCTGAAGGTCGGGAATTGCTGCGTACTTGTAGTACAATAACACGCCGTAATCGCTTTCTTTTCCATTTTCTATTTGCAGATTGATTTCATGGTCCGCCATTGACAACGGAAAGCTTCATGTGAGTGGGAGCCGGTAAAACCCTGATATTGATTGGGGATTTAGAGGGGCAAATAGGTAATTGTCATTTTGCAGCCTCAAACTACATTTGCACCCTTACTTTGAAATTGCGATGCTAAATCCCGCACTAATATTACCAAATCTTGCACATAATTAAAAATATTTCTCTCTTTAAAATCTTCTCTTCTTCTTCTTCTTTTTCCCTAAATTTTTCATAAAATCACACACTAAAAACATGCCTAGCATTCCAACTTCGAATTTGACAAAAATCTTCACATGTTCAAACTAAAATAAAGTTGGAATTTGAGGAAAAAAAATCGAATTGATATGAATTTGAATAATTAAATAGGCTTAATGAAATCGAATAGATATTAATTAAAACTGAACTCATTTTTTATGACTATTCACATAAAAAAATAATGAAATTTGAGTGACTTTGATGAAATCATCTTAGAGAGAAGTTAGAGAGAAAATGAGTAGAGATAATCTTTTTTTAAAATTTGTGTGTGGGATTTAGTAAATTTTAGAGTGGGATTTAGCACGCCCCAATTTGAAATTATAGCATAATGCACCCTCCAATTACAACTTGCCTAGCAAAGTGCTCCCACTTTTTAACTTTTCGCTAAAAAGGTAACCAACTACCTATTTTCATGGTTGAATCGTTTGTTCCGGTTGACCTGCCAAATCCGACGGTTAACTATATGATCGAGTCTCCTTTCTCCGAAGTGATGACGTCAGCTCCTAGGTTGATGACTAGACTGGATTTCGCTAGAAGCTTGGTCGGTGGAGGTACTTGCAACATGGGAAGGGGTTTCCCGACGTATAGCCTCCGACGATCAAGTTAGAGGCAACGTTTTGATTATATTGTAAGTATATTAGTGTGTATGTGTGTATATTATTATGTGCGAGGGTTTTTAGGAAGGCTACCTTTTATAGAGGTTTCTTGCCTTGGAGGTCAAGGCTTTCCTTTTAGGGTTTTCCCCAAACTCCTGGACATGTCGTCAAGTGTTGGGCCTTCCTGAAGCTTCTATAACCTTCCAGTCCTTTCGGAGGTCCGAGCTGAAGTCTTTGTCCACCTCACCTCGTGCGAGCTACCAGGCTCCTCGTGGTCCGAGCTGAAGTCTTTGTCTTTGTATGTATAAATTGGGTCAGGCCTTTATTAGAACATTTACACTGTCTATTGGGCTAGTTACGTAGCTTAATGGGCTTTGGACCCTCTGTAAATTATGTTTATTTATAGGAAGACCCTTCGAGGCGATGTGGTCCTTATCAACAAACGAGCTCTTCGAGGCTGGGGTACAGGCGTCGGCGAGTTTTAATGAGGGGGTGAAGGAAGGGCACCGTCTATTCCCGAGTGATCTGGCAAGTTGTACACGCTTCGAACGCATACATTATTGTCTTCTCTTTTTCGTCATACTTGTGCATCATTTCCATTTTTTATTTCGTAATCTCCTCCCATTTGATGTATAACGAGCTGTGAGTTAGAATTGACCTGCAATAATCGTGCCCCAAGTTCCTGTGAAATTTCGATACGTCGGTTAAAGGCTTCATACTCAGCTTCATTATTTGAAATTTGAGGTAATTTGATGGCAAATTTGAACTCGACACCAGTTAGATGTATGACAAGAACTCTTGCACCCGCTCCCAAAGATGTATAGAACCCATCGACATATACTTTCCATTTCTTTTCTACTGGTACCCGAGTTGTTTCCCTGACAAAATCAGCCAACGCCTGACCTTTTACCGAGGTACAAGGTTGATACTGGACTTTGTATTGTCCGAGCTCAGCATTCCATCATATGATCCTGCCCGACGACTCGGATTGCCCTAGTGCTTGTCGCTGTGGTAAGCTAGTGTGAACTATGATGGTGTGCGAAAGAAAATAAGGCCAGATGCGTCTAGCAGTGATAATAAGAGCATAGACATTTTTTTCCATTTCGGAGTATCTGGATTTTGCTACATTGAATATCTTGCTTACGTAGTAGACAGGTAACTATCAGCCTTGAGTTTCTTTGAAGAGGACCGAAATAACAGCGGTCTCTCCGACTGAGAGATAGACAGAGAGTGTTTCACCTCGTTCCGGCGAGCACTGGTAATTCTGATAGTGAATTTTGTAAAGCTTCGAAAGTGTGCTGGCACTCGTTGGTCCATTAGAATTGAGATCTTTTCCTTAACACCTTAAAAAAGGGAAACTTTTATCAGCCATGCGAGTTATGAAACGAGTTAGAGCGACCACTTTTCCTGCCAAAGATTGAACTTCCTTTATGGAACGAGAAGGGGCCATGTCCAGGACATATTTGACTTTATCCTGATCAACTTCAACCCCTACTTTCACATCCCTAGAATTTTCCTGCCCATATTCTGAAGGCACATTTTTCCGCGTTCAATTTCATACCAAAGGACCGAAGTGTGGCAAATGTCTCTGCTAGATCCTCGAGGTGTGTTGCTTGTTTTTTACTCTTTATCAGCATGTCGTCCACATAGACTTTCATATTTCACCCTAGTTGTGTCCATAACATTTTGTCCCTAAGTCATTGATAAGTAGCACCTACGTTTTTTAGCCCAAATGGCATTACGACATAACAATAACTATCGGTTGATGTGACGAAACTAACAGCGGGTGGTCTCGTGGATCTAAGGGGATCTGGTGGAACCCTTGTGAGGCATCCATGATACTTAGTAGCTCACATCAGTTGTAGAGTCTACGAGCTAATCAATCTGAGGTAAGGGTTAATCGTCTTTCGGGCAGGCTTTGTTGAGGTCTCGAAAGTCGATGCATATTCGCCATTTATTATTTATTTTTTTGACCAAAATGGCATTAGATAAACCGGTAGGGAATTGAATTTCTCTGATGTGACCGACGTCCAGAAGACGCTTTATCTCAGTGGCTTTGTTGAGGTCTCGAAAGTCGATGCATATTCGACATTTATTATTTATTTTTTTGACCAAAACAGCATTAGATAACCCGGTAGGGAATCAAATTTATCGTTTTTGCTTAACTGGTTTATGAAACCTCTTTCGGGGGTGGTTCGACCTCCTCCGTCATATGAGTCACGGGGTCGTCCCCGTTACTTTGCTTCAGTCGTTTCCGAGCTGCCAATAATTCACTTAGCTAACCTCCTCGCACCATCCTCTCTATCTCATTTTTTATGGTAAAGCAGACACTCGTTTCGTGTCCATGATCGTTGTGGAAATGGCAAAAAAGACCCGATCCAGGGTCTCCCTTAGGCGATTCATCTTGTGGTCTTGGTTATCGCAATAATTGGCCCCCTGAAATAAGTTCTAGGATTTTTTTTCTTGGGGCATGGCAGCTTTTGCATATGAGTCATACTTGGGGATCTTGAATCGGTCCGGATTAATGAAGGACATCTTGTGTCTTGAGTGTATGTGATTTAAGTTTCTCTGCTTTGCATTCCTACGAGAGCGTTCATGCGGTTGTTGCGGTGATTTTGATGAAGCATCGAGCGGACTGGGAATGTGGGCACCTCTCGCCTTTCCATTCGTCCCTCTATCCTTGACTATCCCTCATTCTTGATACTTTGGCAATCCTCGAAGTTGATTTATTTTTCAGCCCGTTGTAACAATTCGTCGAATTTGGACGCCCCTTAATTCACCAGAGATCTGAAAAATTCCCCTTTGTTTAACCCATGGACAAAAGCTCCTACCAAGACCCCTGACTGTGTGTGGGGACCTCCAGCATCATTTCTTGAAATCACTTTGCGTAGCCTCTGATAAGTATTTGTATTGCACGATTTTCACTTATCAATTCTTCGAGTTTTGGTCTTCGTTCGTTTGAGTTTTCGGCTCTATTTGTATATATTATGCTTTTCTTGTTTTATTTCAATTTTAGGTAAGAGAATCTATTTTTGCCAATTCGAAACGATTATGAGAGCGAAGCCGAGAATCAAGTCAAACAAGTGCAAAATTGCATTCAAGTGAACTGTGGCAGGGTTCGTTATTACACGCATAACTTTTTCATACGACCTCCGATTGAGTTGATTCAATTGGAGTTAATATGAACACTTATAGGGCTCCAACTTTTATGAAATGCAGTTTTGTCTAATTCGGGCTGAAAAAGGGTCAACACAGAGTTTGAAGTTATCATAGTGGCCATATCGCGATATCACCAGTTATATCGCGATATTACAAAAAACAAAACAGAGAACTTGCACTTTTGCCATATCGCGCGATATGCTTCCTTGTATCGCAATATGGCAAAAAACGATGCAGTTTTGCCATATCGCGCGATATTGCCGCCCATATCGCGATTTGGCCTCGGGATGCATAAAAAAAATATCCAAAACGGCAGAGCTTCCTCAAGAAGCTTTGCCTTACTAAAAATCAATGTTCTAAAAATCCGCCGAGGCGGCCGATTAATCGGTCTTCGAGGCGGAGGCGATCCCAATCCTTTACGATTTTGGTGTAAATGTTTGAAAAATCAGGTTTCGGTCTAGAAGGCGGTTTAAGGTGGGTTGAGGCAGTCAAACGTTGAAGGCGGGTCAAACTTTGGTGGCAAAAATCGGCCAAAAATCGATCTTTATTTTTAATTCAAAATAAAAGTAGGGATTTTAATTAAAAATATGGGTTTATGCTTTATTTTATTTATGTTAATTGTTATTGTTAAAGAACATAATGATATATGCTTGGAATGTTCAAGAATAAATTTAAATTCAAAAAAATTGTCTTTTTATTTATATTTTATAAGGATTTTTATTGTATTATTATATTATTATTATTAAACATTTATTATGTTATTAGGATTTATACATGATGGAGATATAATTATGTTTAAATATCTTTTTATAAATATTTTCAATATTTATAAATAATATTTAGAAATATATTATTTTAAATTCTAAAAACCAATTTATTCTCAATTTATCGCCGATTAATCACCGCACCGATTAATCCTGAGTCGGTGCCTAGCTGCCTCCGACTAGATTATCGTTTTTTACAACCTTGTTATAAATAGAAGAAAGCCCTCATTCTTCACTTGGTCTTCAACTTTTCTTTGGTTTTCGACAGTTCTTTGCAAAAAGTTTCGACAGGGGTTTCGACTCGGGTTTTGCTTAAGCAATTTCATTATGTTTAGTTCTTCATTTCTCGTGTACATTCTTTTGATACTATGTTTGTTATGAACAAATTACATTTTCATCTAGGGTAATGAAACCTTATATATATTGTTTTCGATTTCCAGATCTGTTATCTATTTACCGTGTTTTGATTTCATTTATGTTTTTTCCTGTATTAAGTACTTCTAACTGATTGATCACCTCTCAGATTGATGTTAAATAAGAATGAAATTGATAGAGGATTTATTATTTGAAATTAGGAGAACATAGCTTGAGTTGTGGAAACGGTGACATGATATATCTCGGGTAGCCCTTAAGGACTTGACCTAAATGCTCTATTAATAGCAGGTTCTGAACGGAGACGTCGAATTTGTGGGTACACTCTAACTACACTGGAGACGAGTGTTAGAGTATTTTAGCGTATTTGGATTAGGATCATGATCATGATTAGAATCAAGATCAGGATCAGGATCAAGATCAGGATCAACATCAAGATTAGATGGGGATCAGGATCAACCTTATCATTAGCATTAGGATTATGATTGGAATTAGGATTCTGATTAGGTTTATGATTAAAATTAACATTATGATTAACATTAATATTAGTATTAAGATTATGATTAGTATTAGTATTAATATTTGGATTACCATTATGATTAGTATTTAAGATTAAGATTATAATTATGATTAGAATTAGGATTATGATCACGATCTGTACGAGTATGAGTATCATATAACTATTAGTATCTGATCCGGCCCCAATTGCCTTAAGAAGCTCATTAAGTACAAGCCCAATAAGTTTGCCGCTTGCTCCATCACCTTCTCCCACGTGGGATGGGCGGCTGGCAGACGACAACAAGGACGGAAAGACCTGCAGTTACGAAAACCGGAAAACCACCCATGAGAGACTCAAGAGCAACGTGAACTTAACAGTGAGCTTAACAGCGAGTTCTCCCTAAATGAGCGAGTTCTCTATCTGAAAGCGAGTTTACCTCTCATACAACTCAGTCAGCTTGCGTGTCAAGACCAAGGCCCCCCGTTGGCAGACCAGAAAATTCAGGGGGTCACATCATTCCCACGTGAGGGTATGTCAAAACGTAAGAAATGACTCACCACCTCACCTAAAGGGCATGTATAAATAAGATACTTGAGGTACAAGATGATGGGTAATAATACAACACTCCCATACATTTTTTTAATATATAGTTAGTTATCTACAAGTATGTCAACTTTCTTTATAAGGCCCGCAGATAAGGATATAATAAATAAAGGCCCGTATTGAAGCCCAATAAGAAAGTCCAAGCCAAGTCCAGAGGACCTGCAAAAAAAAGTACCATAAGGAGTCTCCCGGTGTTAGCACTCTGACGATCAAGTTAGTCGACATACTTGTCGAGAACTGTATATTAAAAAGATGTATGAGAGTGTTGTATTATTACCCATCATCCTGTGCCTCAAGGATGTTATTTATACATGCCTTTTATATGAGGTGGTGGGGTCCTTTCTCACTTTCTGATCCCCCCCGAATCTTCTGATCTATCAACGGCGAGCCTTGGTCTTGAGCCGCAAGTTGACTCAGTTGTATGAGAGGAGAAGTCGTTGTTAAGCTCGCATCGCTCTTGAATCTCTCATGAGTGGTTTTTCAATTTCTGTCACTGCAGGTCATTCCGTCCTTGTTGTCGTTTCAGCCACAAAACTAGTCCCATATGTTAGCCGCCCATCCCATGTGGGGAAAGGTGATGGGGCAAGCGGCAACCTTATTGGGCTTGTACTTAATGAGCCTCTTAAGACAACTGAGGTCGGCTCAACTAATATTAGTATTAATATTAGTATTAATATTAATATTAATTAGTATTAGTATTCATATTATTAGTATGGTATTCGATGATTTATAGTCTATTTATTACATGTGCTATAAATACGCCTTTGATAACTAAGTTTAAAGTTGATGATCATAGTGCATGCATCGGACAAGATAGTTGTACTATTTCTTTAAGATGATGTATCTTATTCTCTATATCATAATTTTCATTTTTTATACATTCTATTTCTACGACAAAAGAAAAGATGCGATAAATGTCGTTTCAATACTTAAATGAAATGAATATTGTATTTAATTTTTTGGATTATATCGTGTCATAACTTATATATCAACTTTTCAAAAAAAAAATTGATTATTCTATTTAACACGTATTTTTATTTATTAAATTCGTGCAATCGTACGGGTGAAATACTCAGTTTTATCTAAACAACACCCAAAGTGACTCTAATCAAATGTTTTATAAATGCGAATCTTATTGTTTATAAATTTAGGGTTGAGAATTATAGCAAATTGCACTTTGTTAATTAAAAAAGAAAAAAAAGAAAAAAAAGAAAAAAAAGGAATTCAAGTCACCCATTACCCACTCAAGTCCCTGCAGTTGTGCGTTTTGTATTCTAGTCCTCTCAACCCCCTTTCCTACTGTCAGAGTCAGTTCTCACTTTTTATACTTTTCACTTAGCTCTCTCTCTCTCTCTCTCTCTCTCTTCGGAATTTCATCAAACAGTTGGTAACCGTCGAGGAGGGGAAGAGAACCTCTGTTCGACGCAAGATGTCGCTGCGGCCGAACAGCAGGGCGGAGGTTCGGAAGAAGGGCTACAAGACAGGTGTCGACGCGGAGGATGCTCGGCGGCGGAGGGAGGATAATTTGGTCGAGATCAGGAAGAACAAGCGCGAGGATAGTCTCCTCAAGAAGCGGCGTGAGGGTCTCCCTAACGGCAGCTTTCCGCAGCAGCCGCAGCTCTTCGATCCATCTCAAACCCCTGCCGCCATCGAGAAAAAGGTAGCTTACGTCTTTCTTTTTATCACTTCCATTTTTTTTTTTCGAAAACATATTGGCGATTGATTGCGATTGCTATACTACGCGGTGATCTGACTCTCTTCATTTCACTGACTTGAGATTGGGAGTGGGAATTTTCAATTTTCAATTTTCAATGATTTCTGCCTGAGGATAATGGTTTGATTAGCTAGAATTTCATTTAGAAAACTGTGATCTATTGTTTTAGGGGTCGTTGAGTGAAATTGTTTGTAGATGGATTTTTGTTAAGGATCAAGTTGGGGTTAACTACTGTAGGAAAATGGAATGTTCTTGAAGTGAATTTGAATTTTTGGAATGTGCTTTACTTGGAGTAAAATAGTCTATGTTTGTGATTTTACTAAATTTTTGCCTATTCAATTGCTGGATGATTTTCGTGGGATCAGTTGAACATTAGATAACCAATTTCAGTTCATGCCAGGATTATGTCTTGTTGACGCCTTTTAATTTCTCAATAGTTTTTACGGTGGTTATGAGACTGAGTGCTAAGATAGGGATTTAAAGAAGAAACGGATGGTTTCGACCTCGTACTATATAGATTGTTGTTGGATCCGATCAGTCAATTTCTATTTCACCTTTGATACAAAATTGAGGGAAGCCAGCTGGCACTCCAAAAAATGCCCATATGTTTCTTCTTCTTTAAATACTCTTTTATAAAAGAGCCTCCATATGTTCAAACATTTGATTTCCACATTTTTAGTCCAAGAGTTATAGACTCAAACTTAAATTAATATATATTTTCTCATCTTTCTTCGAGTATTCGTTTATTAAAGGGTCTAAAAATCCCCTAACCTATACTACCATTTTCATTACTTTTTCAAGAATTATAAATTCAACCCAAATAAATTTGTATTAGTTAGTTCCAAATATATTAAATTATACCTTCATTTGTTATACAATTATTGAATTGTTAAATGTTATATGAAACTACTTTTATATAGATTTATATAGTAAATAAAAATTAATATAAAAATACACGTTTTTTGTTCTTGCCTTGGATCTCTCGGACCTGCCCTGGCTAGCAGTTCTGGTTCAAAAGACTTTAATTGAAGCAGATTCCATCTGTTATGCTATGATGGTCACAATCAATTTCCTTTGACAGTTAGAAAGTATTCCATTGATGGTACAAGGAGTCTGGTCTGAGGATCCTAATGCTCAACTGGAAGCAACTACACAATTCCGAAAGCTTTTATCAATTGGTATTTTTGTCTCCAAAGCTATCCTTTATTTCTAAATTTTCCATTCACAACTTATATTTGTAACTTCCATACTTCTCAGAACGAAGCCCTCCAATCGATGAGGTGATTAAAGCTGGGGTCATACCTCGGTTTGTTGAGTTCCTTGGAAGGCATGATCTGCCTCAGCTGCAAGTAAGGTCCTTCGTGAACATATTTCTTTTTAAATCATTTGCAATTAAATCATTGACACCTTATTATTTATTATTTCTTTTTATTTTTTACTTTTCTTGATTCAGTTTGAAGCTGCATGGGCTTTGACAAATGTTGCTTCTGGAACATCTGAACACACACGAGTTGTAATCGAACATGGTGCTGTTCCTAACTTTGTGCAACTTCTTAGTTCTGCCAGTGATGATGTTCGAGAGCAGGTACTGTATTGGTTCTTCTATATTTGATAGTTGTGGGTCTTTTGCTGAGTGCTGAAAAACCTGCCTTCAATGCCATCTGCTGAGCAGGCAGTTTGGGCTCTTGGCAATGTTGCTGGGGATTCCCCAACTTACAGGGATCTTGTCCTTGGGCACGGTGCCCTTCTCCCACTGCTTGGTCAGTTAAATGATAAATCAAAGCTCTCCATGCTCAGAAATGCGACATGGACCTTGTCGAATTTCTGTCGTGGGAAGCCACCCACTCCTTTTGAGCAGGTGTGGTCAATTATGGAATATTCTATTTCGTATTTGTTATAATGTTGGTATGAAGATGTTGCAGAATTTCTAATGGTATTATGCTGCTTTGATAATGTTGTGATTGATAAATCAATCTAATAACACTGTTTGTTTATCTTCTGCCAAAAATGGTCAGGTGAGGCCTGCATTGCCTGTTCTTCAGCAACTTATCCATTTGAATGATGAGGAGGTTCTGACCGACGCTTGCTGGGCACTTTCTTATCTTTCTGACGGAACGAATGACAAAATTCAAGCTGTGATTGAGGCGGGTGTCTGCCCACGCCTTGTGGAGCTTTTGCAGTATGTTTCTATTCCCACAAAAGGATTTGAATTCTACTTGTTTCTTGTTTTTTTGTGTTGTGCTTTTCTTTTCATTTTTCTTTTCTTTTATTATTGTTGTCATATTATTTTCTCCAAATTTCATCGAGATTTTGTTTCTAGTGTCCCATCTCTGAAAAACTAATGCTTTTAATATGTATGAATTCAATGTTGCTCACGATATTTTGTTTCTCATGAAGACATCCGTCACCTACCGTTCTTGTGCCTGCTCTTAGGACTGTGGGAAATATTGTCACTGGTGATGATGCTCAGACACAGGTCTTTGGATATACCTTACTTCCCTTATTATAATTTTCTGCCAACTGTTTTCTCTCATCGGTAGCAATGTTGCATAGAAATTTTTCCTACAGGAACTGCTGTGATATACCTTTATTTATTATCTGTTCAAAGATCTATCCAAATTGACAAGTGCGAGTGTCTCTTAAATATGAGCTTGAATGCATTTCTCAATGTGATTGTTCGTTTGTTCTTTGGCGTATCTGAAAGATCAAGTCATTTAGGTCTTTTAGGGGTGAAATTTGTCAATTATATGCAAAAACACTATAAATAATCTGCTCTATCGCTTGGATTTTTACGTTATACACTGTAATAGAACATTCTCATGAAGCTTTCATGAATTTTTAATTTTAATAATTTGATTCATAAACATGGCTTGGCGTCTATGATATATTTATTTTTGGTGAGATGTTGGAATCATCATTTTTTGATGGAACTCTAAGTGGAGACAAGTATCATCCTCATTTTTTATTTCTTCTCTCATCTGCACTATCTTTTTCTGAATATTGACATAGTTTATTTATTTGTGTCAGTTTGTGATAGACAACCAAGTCCTCCCGTATCTCCAACAACTTCTTACCCAAAATCATAAGAAAAGCATAAAAAAAGAAGCTTGCTGGACAATCTCTAACATCACTGCCGGAAATAGAGCTCAAATCCAGGTACTTGTCTACTTTCTTTTTCCTTGTTGAACTAATATACATTTTTCTAACTATGGAACAAGTTGGCTCCATTAAATTTATTCGGTGCTCATACGGTAGATATCCTCAAATAAACTTGATAAGAAGTTGTAGGATCTCTGGGTTCACTCGAATACAAATGGGTCGGAAGAACTCATAGGTGTTTCCATGTTCTTATTTTGATCTTACTCCTTGGGTTGTGCTTTGAGTACCAAACTCAATACGGCACGTCTATTTGACCTGCATTGATATATGAATCAAACGCCTGTAGAAGTAACATCTTCATCAGGATGAATGTGGTTGGTTGAGATGAGACTACTAGGTGTAAATCTCAAGCAATTAAATCGATTTTATTACAAATAATGAATCGATTTAGTTATGCGAAGCATATTGAATGAAATGCAAGATACAGTTGACAGAAGAAATAATAGTAATTTTTAATGGTAAACCTTTTAGTGCTGACCTAACATACAATGGAATAAAGTAACTTGAAGGATTGGATATCAATGGATTAATTTTTTTGTGACAGAGGATTCATGAAGATACCCCAAACTGTTAAAATTCAGTCTTATATTTGCACTTGATACAGTGCCAAGTGTTCTATAGTTAAACTTTCCTTCTCCCTCCACCCAGCCTCACAAAACTGCACACATACACACGCGCACATGCACACGCATACAAGAAAAGGAGTATAAAGACCTTGTAGTTGATTGGGTAATCAGAATCAACATTAGCTCCATACAATTAGTAGTGGGAGTTTGTCTCATTTTTCTTTATTCTAAAAGGACTTTGGGGATTACTTTATACCTGTTTTTATGCGATGTCCGTCATCTTACTTAGCTACCTTTATATTTCCTTGCAACAGGCTGTCATTCAGGCAGATATCCTTCTTCCTTTAGTGCAACTTCTTCAACATGCGGAGTTTGACATAAAGAAAGAGGCTGCATGGGCTATCTCCAATGCCACATCAGGTGGATCTCCAGAGCAGATTAGGTATACTGGGGTTTCACTAATTTTACGTGATGTACTATTCTAGTAGCATATATTGATAAATGGCGAATTGACCTCTAAACCTATCCAACCGTATCTTTGGAAACAATTAATATTTCTTTTTGAATCTATAGACACATTTGAAAAAAAAAATGAATTCTAATTCAAATTGGTGAAATGTAGTGTTTTGAAATGCTAGGACATTCTGAGAAAGAAAGTATCAAAAGGAACTGAAACCCTGAATATAAAGTTTAGGCTGCTATTGGTGGGATCTAGTTTCTGGAAAAATGATTTTTTGCAAATTAGTGAAAAAACTATCTAACAATATGAGAAATTGAATGTGATGGTATGTTTGGACGGTGTTTTGTTGGAGTATGACGTATAATGGTAACTATTAATGTGACGTATTTTCTGTGAGTGTTTATGGACGATTGTTTATCTTTTTCATTCGAAATCCTGTTACAATGGGAAAAAGTAAGGTTGGGGCAGGATTTGGAACCCAAGACCTTCATCCTGGGTAACAACTCTCCTAATGAGGGTTGGTTGGACCAAAAGTTATTTTGTGGGATTTTTCCTAAAATATTATGCTATTAATTCGTACTGACCGAATAGTGATATTGTTTATTCATGTACATCAGTACACGTAGTCACTTTTTCCGATATCTATTCTTCTAGACGGAGTCAGTCAGTCACTTGTAAAGAAGTCGGTTTTCCTCTCTCTCTCTCTCTCTCTCTCTCTCTCTCTCTCTCAATTCTAGAACATTGGCGATAGTAACTTCTACTTTTGATTCTTCGAGTCTATGTTTCTTATATCTTTTTATTGCTAATGACTGGAATCATGCTTGTATTTTCGTGCTCGGAAAATTTCTCAGTTCTCTCTCTTATATATCCCTCTCTCTCTGAACCAACAAGTGAATTATACCATCTAATAACGACAACCATCATTACTCTTTGCAGATTCTTGGTGAGTCAAGGTTGCATCAAGCCACTATGCGATCTCCTAATCAGTCCAGACCCAAGGATCGTTACTGTATGCCTGGAGGGGCTCGAAAACATATTGAAGGTAGGCGAGGCGGATAAAGAAAGCGGCCTCAATGGAGGAATCAACATATATGCACAAATGATTGATGATTGCGAAGGATTGGACAAAATCGAGACCCTGCAAAGCCATGACAACAATGAAATATACGAAAAGGCCGTTAAAATATTAGAGAAATACTGGGCTGAAGAAGACGAGGATCAAAATATTGCAGATGCTGGTGTAGATGGCAATAACAATCAAGGTTTCAACTTTGGCAACAATCAGCCGAATGTTCCTAACGGTGGCTTCAACTTTGGTTGAAAAAGGTTTCCCTTATACATCAGCCTTCTATCTTTCTTTCAGTTTCGAACCGTGTTTTGAGTGTTGGAACTTAAAACGGCTTTCTCTGTGTGTTGTGTCTCGTTGTTCTGAATTTGTTTTTGTCTTTTTTTTTTTCATTTATCGTTCCATTTGCAAAGAGAATACTTATGGGCTCTTACCTTGTATATCTAGGTTGTGGACTTGGTAGTCTTGTTGTGTTTCCAAGGGGAATCTTCTTTGTTTTTTAAAAGTTTCAGCTATCACTAGAATCGTCGTAATCGTAGTGTATGTTTTTCTTTCATGGTGAGAACATTTTTTTCTCGACTCTGATTGCTTGTCACTTGAATGGTAAAACTATTGCCTCAGCCGAAAAGAAAGTAGGCTCAAAAGCGGTCTTTGAGATTTTTCGGGTAGAGGCTAAATCGTTTTTTCGACTTTACATAGTTGATGACCATATTTATTTTCTTTTTATTTAAGCACATAACCTATACTTCCCTACCTTAACTGGTATTCAAAAGATAGCCACATTCGTTCAGAGTGAGATTGGTCATGCTATCAATCTTTTAAGGCCTCGTCGATTTATTGTCTAGAAAGAATTTTTTAAGATAAAGATTAAATAATTTAATGAATACAATTGAATAATTGGATCATGAATTCAATAAAAATGTTCCAAAGTCTAGATAAACCACGATAATATAATATTTTCAAGTCGATCAGGGAAGTTATGGAGTACATAAACAAATTTCAATTATTTAGTTAAGGCAACTCTAGGAGATGTAGTTAAGGAAAATTTCCCTTCAAAAAATAATTAGAGAAAATCCCTTAGCTAATATTCCACCCACATGCTATTTTTATTATTTCAAATTTATTCTTGATTGTCCAATGTACTCTTTCAAAACTCTAATTTTATTTTTCATTTATCCCATCTCCTTTCTCGTTTATTTCTTCTCTCTTTTTTGTTTTTTATTTTCTCTCTCTTTTATCTGGCAACAGCCTCGACATTGTTCACGTGGGCATACTCTTTCAAAACTAATTTCATTTTTCATTTATCCCATCTCCTTTCTTATTTATTTCTTCTCTCTTTTTTTTCTCTCTTTTCTCTAACAACAGCCTCGGCATCGGTCACGAGGGCCCTCGCTTCCACCGACAACGAAGAAGAATCAGCCGAAGAGGCAGACCAAGCGCGGTGGGGATTAGAGCACAACATAAAGGAGCACACTGTTTGTTGATTAGAGAGGACGTTGTTTGTTGATTATCTCTTTCGGATTTATCCTTACTCCTCGGATTCATGACCCAACTTAAAAGACTATGTACTTAGGCCCCGCTTGGTTGGCAAGATAAGATTAGCCAAGATAAGATTAAATAATCTAATGATACCCAATTATTTTATTGGAGCTTGAAACGTCCAACAAAAAAAACTCATTAGAAGGCAAGATAAGCCAAGATAAGCCATGATTATATAATTTTGGCGGGTCGACCCGACAATTTATTGAGGATACCAAACATCAAATTAAGTCCAACTATTAAGTTAATCATGGCTTATCTTGGCAACCAAACGGGGCCTTAATATAAATCCATATAATGGCGAAATGCAGATTCATATAAATGGGTTCTTTGATAAAAACCCCCAAAACTTTCATTAATAGGGAGAAGTTCAACCCATATTATATTCTTTGATATAAATCCATGTTCTTTTTCCTTTCCTTAATAATCCTAAAATTGTCCTCCAACTACACCTATTGTTCGATTTTTAACATTTTTACTCTGTCAGGTATATTAATCGACTACGATATTAAACGACTAAGGGCATAGTTGATTAACAAACTGACTCCTAAAATCGTGGTTGAATAATGAAATTGACTACTAAAAGTAACAAAAACAACCGTAATGTCGTCAATAAAACCCAACACGATTGAACAAAAAAAATCAAACAATAACCAACTGAAACAATTAACAAAAACAACTAAAAAAAATAAAAATCAACTATTTTTTACAAAACAACAAGTATACAAAATTATATTGATTTATACAAATTGGATGATGGATTACAATGACAAAACAAAAACACACCACGACTATCCCCAATCCCGACAATTCGTGGCATAATAGGGAATCAATAACAAAAAAATCAAATATAATTTAAAAAACGTAGCGATTAACCTTAATCGACTAATGAACATAGTCGAGTAGACCTTAATGGATTAATGGACTACAGGACGTAGTCGATTACGAGTCCAGCATTCACAACTACGTGCGCCGTCCTTTGCCTGATCTATTAAAAAAAACCTAGATCTGCCTCTCAATCGTCACCACGTCGTCACCATACCACACCATCACCATCTTCACCACCGTCACCATACCACACCATCAATATTGTATTATACCTCCTCTTCTTTGGACTACTCTGATTCGTATCTTCATTTTACATACAAACCGATTCCGGCAAAAATGTGGCGAAAAGCCATCTTCCTCGCACTCGTTCCGACAACACACGATGAAAATATATCTTCCCCGTACTCATTCTGGCAACACGCGACGAAAATCCATCATCCTCGTTGCCGACCACCGCGAGCAATGCACGAGCTTAGCCTTATCCATCCTCGATTTAACCTGATAAAGAGGGAGAGAGAAGAGATAGGAAGAGAGTGAACGATTTTTAGCAAGAGAAAAATGAGAGAAAAGAGAACGGCGTAGTAAGTGTGAGAAGTGAGAAGTTAGGGTTAAGCCTATTTTAAATCATTAAGGGTATAAGGTGAACATCATCAACATGTTTAGGTTACCTAATATGCTCACGTCTAGGTCTATCCCTAGCAAGTTGATAATCAGACAAATCATGCATATTAGGCAAATCAGTTTCAACAGTTTGATTTTGCAATTTTTTAGATAATTCAAAATCACTCACATTATAGATTTAATAGGCAATTGTTTCACCTCAATTGGAGTAGATTGAGGGACAACCACATTAGGGACAACAAAACATGGAAATTTATATTCATTAAAAATAACATCCCTACTAAGTATGGTTTTCTAACCAAAGTCCCATTTCAACCAAAGCCTATACATACTCCTTAACCCCATCGGGATAACCTAAGAAAACACATTTCATAGAACGGGGTTCAAGTTTATCACATTTATGGTGAACAAAAGCAGGCCAACCAAAGACATACAAATTTGACAGATCTACATTCTTACCACTCCATACAGATTTAGGTAAGTCGCCATGTACTGGCACATATGGAGAACAATTAATCAAATAAGTAGTAGTCAAAATTGCTTCACCCTGAAAAAATTTTGGCAGTCCAGAACTAGTTAACATAGCCCTCAGTCTTTCGAGGAGGGTTCTGTTCATTCGTTCGGCCACACCATTTTGTTGTGGGGTGTGCACAATATATTTATGCCTTATAATTCCAGATTCAGAACACAAAGAATTGAATTCAAGGTTGCAAAATTCAGTTCCGTTATTTATCCTAAGTGTTTTTATCCGTTTTCCTGTTTATTTTTAATCAACGTTTTCCATGTTTTAAATTTGTCAAAGACATCAGATTTTTTCTTTAATAGGAAAACAAAAACTTTTACGAAAATAATTACCAATGATAGACAAAAAATAACGGTTCCCACTATGTATAGGAACACTGGCGGGACCCCACACATCAACATAAATATATTCTAGGATTTCCGTGCGTCTAGATTGATTAGGGGAAGGGTTTTCAGGAAACTGAACATGCGTTTGTTTACCTAAAATGCATGAATCACATAGAGTCACAAAAGACACTTTCCAAGGTACCAATTTTTATGCAAGATACTAAGTTCTTTATTACTCATGTGATCTAGTCGTTTATGCCATAATTCAGATAAATCATTTTGGACCACATTCCCAGATGCAGAAGATTCAGCAAAACAAACATACATATTTCCATTCTCAAAGCCTTATACACATAACGACTACTCTTCATAATATTCATGCAACCGTCTCGCCATTCCCCACGAAAACCATCATCTTCAAGCATAGCACAAGAAATCAAGTTATGACTTAAGCTAGGAACATGCCTCACATTTTTCGAGGTTAACACATAGCTAGTTTCAAATTTTAAGAATACAATTCCAATGCCAGTCACAACTATCCTAGTGCCATCAGCTAAAGTAACACCACAGTTTTTCATTTGCATAGTCACAAAAAACTTCCCCACGTGGAGTCATATGATAATATGATATGAACATTCTCACTAAGAGAGGCCAACATAGAATTCACAGAAGCATGCATTGTTAGAGTAGGTAACCGAAGAGCCAACTAATTGTTGTGTTTTCTCACGCTACTTGTAAATAATCTATTTCGTATTAATGATAAATACCCACTTTGGCATTCTGTATCTTTGTCCCTTGCATAAGCATAGATATAGTTCTTACAGTTACTTAATTACTATAAATCGATCTAGTAGACCATGAGATTATTTAAGTATAGTAACTGTTAAACGTAGTTCCTAGTCAACCGGTTACGACACTAATGAGCATATCAGCCTTTCCCATTTAAGACTAGCACTTAGCGTATGTGTAATGTGTCTCATCATTCAACGATGTTGTGCCATCGGCATACACAAGTGGGTGCTCATAACTTGATGAGTTCACTGAACTCCCTCAATCTAGAGATCTCTAAGTGTTTTCCAATAATCACGTAGAGGTTTCTATGATATAGTTGTGCACCATTAATCCTTAAGACGCAGACATCACTGTAACTTCACTAGAGGACCAGCTGTATCGTGACTTGTCCCTGAGTCTCACCGATGACCGCTCCAAGGGACAGTGTTCGTGCCGTCCGAAATCTATTGCGAGATATGTGCATTGTAATAGGGGATTCGATCGCTATATCAACCATGGATATCATGTATGTTCTTGCGATTTATAAACCATAAAGTCTGTGGCCACAACTGAAAGTGTCGTGATTAGAGAAATGTGTTTCTCTAAGTCAAACACGAACGGATTATATAATCAAGAACGTCCACATCGTTATTGAAATCATAAAGAGGTCTCAGTGAACCAATGCCACTAGTTCAATCGGGATATATGAATCGAAGGGATCGTACTATACGTGAACTATATCACACGGTTCTTGCAGGCACTTCATCTGTATCTAGGGAATCATGATCGAAGTTGTTAGGCACTAATCTTGATCTGTCGGAAATTAAGTTGAAACTAGCTTCATCTTAATTATAGCTTCATCTTAAATAAATGAGTTTAAACGACAATGTGTTGTGGGCCCATGACTAGCTTACACCTGAACCATCGAGGGTCACACTTGATCTCGTGTACTTGAGAAATGCAATGAGCTAAAACTAATTAGTTAATCTTAGTGTAATTGGAAGTCAATGTGCTTGAGTCCAATATTCGTAATTGTTAATTACGGAT